GGGTTTTTTTTGTCTTTAATCCATAATCATCAAAATTGAAACAAATAAAGGCTTGAAATATTTCACTTTGTGTGTAGTGAACTAATATAACATACAAGTTTCACTTTTTGAAACAAATTATTGAAATAAATGGACTTTCCCTTGATATTCTAATTTTTTGGCACATACCTGTATATCATCTGTGACTGCATTAGAGTTCATATAAATAGTGATCCATGCTTTTAGGGCCTATCATGTCTAATCCAGTTGTTCTACAAGATGGATGCAACACCTAGAAAGTGTGCAAGTATCTTGACTTTACATGAACACACAGGAAAGACCTACAGGGAGATAGCAGGAGCTGTAGGTGTCAGTCTTGCAACTGTGAGCCGTGTAATCAAAATGAAGAAGGAAACAGGCTCTGTTACTCCAAAGCGCAAAGATAAATGTGGTCGAAAGAGGAAAACCACACCAAGAGATGATGCTTACTTGAAAGTGTGAAAGACCCTAGAAAAACAAGTGATGCCTTAAAAGTTGATTTAAAGGAGAAAGGAATAGAAGTAAGTTCATCCAGGCGTCTCTTGGAGGTAGGCCGGAAAGCCTACAGGCCAGTGAAAAACAACTCCTGACCAAAGCTATGAAAGTGAAACATTATAAATGGGCATTGAAGTACAAGAACTGGACTAAAGAAGACTGGAGAAGTCCTTTTTAGTGATGAAAGCCATTTTTTTCATCCAAGGACAGAGAAGTCAGCATGTTCGGAGGCCACTAAATGAAAAGCACTGCAATGCCCACATCGACCAGAGGGTAAACCACCTGTGGTTGGTAGGACCTGATGCGAGCTAAATTAATTTAGACAAATCATTCCAATTACAATTATAATTTAATATTACAATAATTCAAATGCAGTTCAATAGTTTGGCAGACAATTAAGCAGACTAAGAGGGGATAGATAGGGGATAGAGTCACCATTCCTGCAGGAAATAAATGCAATATTAGACAAGAAGATTGTCACAAAGTCAGTCAGTCTTTTTAGGTCATAAGCACAGTCAAGTCCGTCATGTCCCCCCAGCTGGGGTCTCACTCAAACGTCCTTCTTCCGCATGCACACACACTATACTACTCTCCTGCAGCAGCATACTGCCTCCTTTTATACACTGCTCACTTTTGGCTCCCCTACCAATTCCCGAACATAGTTAACCGATCATCTCCAAATCAGGATGACCCAGTGGATTAAACAAACAGGCCATGAACCCAAAATGTTCTTGCTTCAGCACACACAAGCTATTTACACAGTGAGCTGACATAGAACAGAGGGCTTGCAGAAGTTAGTTATTGATTGGCTGCATGTAATCTACACACTCGCACTGTATTTTATTACATATTGAATATTAACTGTAGCTTGTTCGTTGTAACCACTACACACACACACAAAAAAGATGTTTTGGGGTTGCTTCAGCTATTATAGCATTGGTAGTTTGCATCCAGTTGAGGCCATGATGCGCTCACCACAATATATTGAACTTCTCCGCAGAAAAGTTGCTCCAGAACTGAAAAAGTTATTTCCTGATGGATCTGATGTTTTTCAACAAGATTTGGCCCTGTGTCACACATCCAAACAAGTGAAATTTTTTTTGAAGAGAATCAAATTAACACACTGGACTGGCCTGGAAACTGTCCCGATCTAAACCCATTTGAAAATTCGTGGTCTATTTGTAAGCAACGACTCTGTGGAATGGACTGCACAACCATGGAGAAGATGATTCAAGCCCTAATTCAAGTTTGGCACAAGGACCCCAAAATCATCCTAGACTGTTCAAAATTGGTGGATTTGATGCCAAATTGCATCCAGATGCTTCTCAAGAATCAAGGAGATACTCATCATGTACTGATGTGAGTGTTAGAATATTATTCATATAAAATAAATTGAGAAAAACAGATTTTTGTTGTTTGTAGGGTTTGTTTCAATTAATTTGCACAAGGGTTTTTGCCTGGTTCTCACAGCTTGAAAGAAGAAACTGTTGCATATCCTGGTAAAGGAGGCACTGATGTTCTTCCTTCCTGGTAAGAAGTGTGAGGCCTTGCATGTTCAGGGCCTTGCAAGTGCAAGTGTTGTATTTAGGAAAGAAAAGTGTAAAAAAAATCTTTTCTAGATGGAAGTATCTTTTTTCCGGAATCTATTATCTCTGGATAACCCACAGATCTTGTTAACCAGTGTTCACAAAAATTATTTCAGCCAAAGAGATTTAAGGGCAAACCTACTCTCTGTTAGCAAATAGCTGTACCCAGAATGTCAGTATGAAGACAGTGCAATAACGGGTGTGGAGTGTAAAAACAAACTAGCAGTCAGTCAAATAGCTTGCTCAGTTTATCCCTGATGATCCTCTACATTCTTCCTGGCTACAAAGGACATATAAGCAGATGCAAGAAGCAGGGACCACTGATGTCTTGTATTCCAGTCAGTATGTATGGGTACATATGTACATGGTATGTACAGTACTCTATGTACTGTATGTTTCAGATTCGTGTGGGTCTTCACACTGGCTCAGTGTTAGCTGGGGTGGTGGGAGAGAAGATGCCTCGCTACTGCTTGTTCGGAGACACTGTTAACACTGCCTCCCGGATGGAAAGCCACGGGGTACCTGACCACATTCACCTCAGCTCTTCCACATATAGGTATGTGCATGCCAGCCAACTGTTGAGACCTACAACAGAGAGGGACTTCTTATCCCTGATACTGATTCCCAAATTGAAGCTCAGGAATTTGCTGTATGTGTGTATGAAGGCCACCTCTCACACTAAGGTGTTATATTTGAAACATATTAAAGTTCCAAACACTGCTTGAGGTTTTTTGGCGGAGACATTCACTCAGTAATTGACTACCTGCGAACAGAGTTCCCTGCAGACCTCCCTCTTTCATGTCATTAATTCAGGATAAGACCCCAAAACCTCTCAAATAATAACAACCAGCAGTTATAGTGCCAGCTACCTCTTTATACCCTCCGAAGTTACTGTACTGAGAAAATTTTATAAACCAGTATACTCTAGCACTTTGAGGAAGTGTTACATTTTGTTTGAAATAACCAATAAAAGATGTGACACTGGCCACTTAAGACCATATTTGTTTTGCACAGTATTTAGTTGACTTAAGATGTATTAAGGATAGATTCAAATGGCTGTATTAGGTAATAAGCAAACAGCTGGATATTTTATATAAAATACTTTCTAATATAACTGTCTAAAAATCCTTCCCATGTATTATGCTTCACTTTTCATCTTGGTGCCCCATTTACCTCACGTCACCCCCAGTGAGCTGAAGGATTCGGCCTTCAACATACAAGAGCGTGGACAGATTGAGGTGAAGGGTAAAGGCCAGATGACCACTTACTTCCTGTTGGGGAACATGGTGGTGTCAGAAGATAGCATCATGGGAAGAGAGGATGGGGGGATCTGTTTTTACAGGGAGGACCTTCATGACCAGACTAGAACAGGTAAGATAAAAAATATGGAAAATTATATTGCCCATATGGTATGTGACAATAGGCTTCTGTCATTGTAATTTCTCCTACTCTCCATACAGACCCTGAAGGTTTCCACTCAGAATGTAACCATGCAATAAAAAAATGAGGGACAAGATCCACAGCCTTCATTCTAAATAAAAACACACTCCAAAGATTGTTTGAGGCTCAAATGCAGCTTCACCTGTATATTTCAAAGTTACAGTCTATTTAAGACAATTTCTCTCCTTTGTAGTCCAGAATAGTTCCTTGCTGAGCTGTGGCAAACTGGTTCATTCTAGTAATAGCATGTAAGTTTGTTGTTATACTGATGTTTACTTTTCAAGATGTGGTTGGAGTTGGAGGCGAATTTGTAGATTTCACAGCCTGAGTGTATTTGCAGTTTGTGGTTTTGGGACACCTGGGGCCTATTTCAAGAAGGCGGTTTAACAAACTCAGAGTTCAAACCTGAACTCTGAGTTGACTTACCCAGAGTTGGAAAACTCTGAGTTTTCGGTTTCAGAACAGCTGAAAAGAGTTGTTTTAATCAACTCTGAGTTGTTCGACTCAGAGTTAGGCGCGTGCCACGCGACTATAAAAAGCCCTGAACAATGGAGTGAAGAAATTACGAGTCACCATGGCAACAGGACCAAGCCAAAATAGGTCTGCGTTTTTCCCCGACAGAAATGGATGTGCTACTACAAGCATATAGTGACTACGAGCCCATATTCCGTAACTAATGTTAGTAATGTTATTATTTGTCACTTGTAAAGTAAGGAATGGTTCTTAATTCTTCAATAATTGAATGAGTAACTTCAGTAATTGCATAAAATACCGATTTTTGTACGAATTAAAAGTGCAGTTTTATGTCTACCCTTTCTTAAAATTCCTATTGTGGTTGATATGGGATTTGTAAAGTAATGATTAATAAATAATCCAGTACGTTTTATGGAGAGTAATTATTACATTAATCAAAATACTTTTTTAAAATTGATCCAACACTGATGTAATAATATAAGAATTGAATTTTAATTTTCATGTAGGTGCATTGATGGGAATATGTGTGCCATCAATGCATCCAAGCGCATTAGGAAATCCTGAAGGGGATTCTAATTATTCGTTTATTTCCAGAGGTCACAGCAAGATGTTATTAACTGATCATCATTTTTCAGATTAGCCTTACTGAAACGAATTCAATACCACTAACCTGCAATCCTGTGAAACTCCTCTTTAATGGCTCTGAGGGGTTTGTGCCCAGGAAACACAACAAAAATTCACAGAAAGCGCTTGAGGGTGAGGCACACTTTCCGAACTATTCTACATACTGTGGCCTTACTAATGTGCTCTGCATCCCCGATGTTATAAAGAAAACTGCCGTTTGCAACAAATCGTAATGCAACACAAAGCATCTGCTCGGATGTAAGAGCACGGCCACGATGGGTGATGTGTCTGATGTATGGGTGGATAAGATTATTGATATATGTTATGGACTCTCTAGAAAAACGGTACCGCTCAAATAAAAATACATGGGGATATGACAAAAAAAAAAATCAACTCGTGGCCTCAATATCCTCTCCCGACGTAAATGCAATTCCCTGCGAATTAATACAGCGTCCTCATCTACAGGATCCTCTATGAATGGACACGCCATTTTGATCTCTTTGTGACGGAAACGTGTGCAATCTATGAATGTACTGAAAGATTAAATGAGGTATTAAACACCTTTCACTTTAAAAAGGGGCGGAGACCCGGAGGAAACTCTGAGTTTCCCGAACAAAACCTGCTCCCAAGCAGGTTAGGTTCACAGAGTAAGTTGCCATAGTAACTGACTCTGAGTTTAGATTACCTCTCTTTGTGAAACGGGTTTAACTTACCCTGCTTTCACGGGTTTAAGTTACCTCCGTTTCTGAAACCGAAAACTCCGAGTTACCCTCATTTCGGGGTTAACAAACTCTGAGTTTCGACAAAACCGCCTTCTTGAAATAGGCCCCAGTAAAACCTGCTGCTGGGTCTGGATTATATTTGTGTATGTGTGAGACGCCTTAAAGTTGCTCCACCCTCATCTGTGCTGTATAAGAATTAGAACTGGTTCATGTCTGTGGTTGTCCATGGTGTTAGAAACAAGTGATGGGCAAAACCGTTCCACAGGTTTCACCTGAGAGATCTTGACAGGACCAACAATCAACAGATTGACTAAAGTGCTTCACAAGCAATAAAAACTTTACATAGACAACATACCAATAACAGGAGTCCACAACAATAGAACAGTAATCTGAATGTCAGTAAACTAATGGGAGCTGAAATGTCAATTAAAAAAGATATGTTTCTAATTTTGATTTAAAGGTGACTACATCTGATATCAAGTGCAATTCAAGGGACAAACTGTTCCATAATTTGTGACCAGCAAAGGCTCAGTCTCCCAATAAACCCAGATTAGCTGATCTGAGAACTACAGGAAACCTACCGATAAATATCTTACCGAGAAGATAGGGAAGCCCGAGACCAGTTAGTGCCTTGAAAACAAGAATCGACACTTTAAAATTGATCCTAAAATGGACAGAGAGCCAGTGAACATAGAACAGGGATGATATGTTCACACTCAGATGTATGCTTTAAAAGGCGAGCAGCTGCATTTTGCACCAGTTGGAGGTGAAAAATTAATCATTGACTGAGACCTACACATAGCGCATTACAATAATCAAGCCTGGAGCTAATAAAGGCACGGATCACTTTCTCAAGGTCACTTTTGTTAAAAAAAAAGACATGACCTTTGCAAGCAAACAGATGGCTTTTACCACCATGCTAATCTGCTTATCGAACTTAACTCATTGTCAAAAGACATCACCTAAAGATCACCTAAATTCTCTACCACAGATTGACACCTAGACCTAGAAAAGATCCTAGTAACCAGATCCAAGCCCCAATGTTGGCAGAATCACCAAATTACATGTACTCACTCTTACTTTCATTTAGATACAAAAGATTTTGTGCCAACCATAATTTTATTTAATTTAAGCAGTCAGAAAATTACTGCAGGGAAATACACTAACTCTGAAAGGCACTGATTGAATTACCTTACACAGGACAAGAGCGGTGTATTGAATACATTTCTTATTGTATTCAGGGTGGAAACCATTGTTGGTGTGGAGAGTAGGAAAAATTACAACTAAGACTTATATACATATGGGCATGTTAAAATTGTATCAAGTCCAACTTGAAAAATCCAAAACCTGTCCTTTAAAATCACTGCTTGGCCTCTATGTAGGTGCCCAGGGAATGAGACAGTTGGTAAAGGGTGAAAGTAGGTATATAGCAGCAAGACAAACATCTCATTTTAAAGTTAGTTAAGTGAGGATAGCCAAGGTTAGAGAACAGAAGCTGGATCAGTGTTTGGAAACTTGGTGAGCAGGCTGAGGGAGAATAAGTTGTTAGGTGTAGAGCTTCTGCTTTTGGAAGCAACTGTGCAGCAGCTATACACCAAATCAACTAGTACAAACTGCAAAGCAGAAACACAGCTGGAGCACCTCCAGAGAAAGGGAAGAATATAATAGCATCATTTAATTTAACTTTTTATGAAATAAAGTTAAGAGAAAAGAAAACTGTCTTCAAACTTTTTTTCAACTTTTCTTTAAGATTTAAAAAGATAGGTTTGCATTTTTCAAGTTTACCTTAAAAAAAATACAGCTACTCAATATTATTATTGAAGGAGGTGGTGACTATAATCATCCTTGTCCATACGGGCTTTGATGAGATTCTAAATTAATTTGATGTGCAGTAAGAGATGTGGGTACAGTGGTTCATTAAGGCATAAAATTTTCTTTTCCAAAATTTCTCTTTCATTTAGAGTCTGACAGAGAGTCTGATGTGAGAAAGGACACTGATCATAGAGGCACACCCACAGATGGAATCAGTCCCCGGGACCCCATCCACTCACGTACACTCACCCCCTTTGCCTGGGACATCACCCCACTATATCAGACTAATGAGAACAGCTACAATACACCTGCAAACAGTTTCAGCAGCAGACTCTGTGTCTTACTCTGAGGGCACCTCTTTCTCTTGTCTTCTTTACACTTATTGAAGTGTTTAACTCATGGATCTATTTAGACTAAATCTATGAAAGACAACCAAACAGGCATTCAAGTATATACATTTTAGTCTTAACTGTTGATGGAGATATATTTCATTGATAGCATGTAGTTTGTTTCTCTCTCTTAAAAATTCTTACAAAATGTTTTTGAGTCAACAATAATACCAACTGAAATTTGTCTGTCTGTTTCTGTCCCTGGTTATTTACATGAATTTAACAGTTTAATTCAGTTAGGTGGCGTTGAAAGGATGGCCGCGTGATTGGCACATCTGTCCAGGACTACTCTACAAAGCGTGGCCTCATTTAGACTTATAAGTGTCTTGTATGCATATAAAATCCAACTTACCAAGCCTTACCGAGCAGGAGTTTCTGCTGGAGGTTCAGGGAGGCTTAGGATGTTCCCTGATGCAGATTGCAATGCTGAGGGTACCCGGTGTCTTTCGTCATCCAGGTGCTTTGTTCTCTCTCTGAAGAAGGCCAGGGCTACACCCATAATGGACTGAGTGGAGCTGGCTGGCCAGGTGGTCTGACTTGTGGGTGTGGCTGTTGGAGCTGTGTTGATTCAGACTGTGTCTAGTTTAACTTTGATTGCCCCTGAAATGTTCTGATGGCGTTTTCTATAACTTTAAGTTAAGTTGAAATTAAATGTCATTTAACTACAAAAACTTCAGCTGGTTGGTGTTTGTGCTCACAAGCCAGAGACATTTTTGCAAGAGATGTTTTATGCTGAGGACCTCAGAATATTCATAATAATCTTAGCAGGCATAATCCACACATATGTTTCAGTTTACAGTTTGTTCAAAGCATTTGTCTTTACCCCATTCACACACCTTTCTTCTGCTCCAGAGCCACTACTGGGCCTTTTTCGCACTGTCAGCTAAGTTACTGACTCTTTGTCTTAGCCTCCACCCTTTTATACCTAACTCACCTAGCAGAGAGACAGCTGACTTGGTTACAAATCCCCTACAACCAGTCAAGTCAAGAATCTTTATTGTCATTATGCATAGCACAACAAAATTTCTTCCAGCAGCTCTCAAGCTTAAAATGCACAATATTTACATAAATAACACAAGACTTGTATAGTCAATACAGGAATATGAACAGATAAAAATGAAGATGTGTAGGACCTAATCAGGTCAACGGCATATTAGCAGCAGAAGAAAATAGTACCATTCTAAATGCAGCAAATCTCAGTCTTTAAGAAGAAGTGTGAGCATGTCAAATCAAATCAAATTTTATTTGTATAGCACCAAATCACAACAATAGTCATCTCAGGACACTTTACAAATTAAGGTCTAGACCTTACTGTTATCACTATTATTACAGAGGGAAAACCCAACAAATCCCCTTTGAGCAAGCACTTGGTGACAGCGGGGAGGAAAAACTCCCTTTAATGAAAGAAACCTCCGACAGACCCCGGCTGTTGGTGGGCGGCCTTCTGCCTTGACCGGTTGGGGTGAGTGGATAGAGGAGAGAGAAAAAAAGAAAATCAACAGGACACAACAAACAATTAAACACTGGTCAGGTTGATGTGGCCGGTGACTGCTCATCAGAAACGTAAAGCTCCAGAGCCAGGGCAACCTGCAGAAAGGTACAGGGGGAGAGAGGAGACACAAAGTTAGTGATGTGCAATGGTGGCATATAGAAGCATAGGGAGAGAGGAAAGGAGAGGAGAGGTGAGGGGAGGGGATAAAGTCAGAACATCATGGGGCCCCCCAGCAGCCTAGGCCTATAGCAGCCTAACTAAGGGAAGGCTCAGGGTCACCTGATGCAAACAAACTGTTGTCTGGGTGGGTTCTGCAGCAATCCATCTGGCCCTCCCCTGGATCTGATCAGTGAGTCCAGATCCAGAAGAGAACTCCCTACAATGCCCTGAGCTGTTTTCACCACCCGGGTCAAGTCCTTTCTGTCCTGTGCAGTGCAGCTCCCATACCACACTGAAAGAGGGTGCGCTCGACTGTCACTCTGTAGAAGTTTGCGAGAGGGATTACAGCAGTCCAGCACATTTCAGCTTCCTGAGGAAGAAAAAGCCTTTGCTGGGCTTTCTTCACCAGGCAGGATGTGTTCAGAGACCAGGTCAGGTCAGGTCAGATGTGATGTGGATGCCCAGGAACTTGATGTCATGAGTAAACAGAGTAAAGACAACTGGGCTGAGCACACAGCCCTGTAGTGTTCCTGTGTTCAGGACTAGTGTGGATGATGTGCAGCTTCCAATTCTCACCACTTGAGGCCTGTTATTGAGGAAGTCCTTAATTCAATGACACATCATTGCAGGCATTCCCAGATTGTGCAGTTTCAGTACCAGTTTCTCTGGGATTACAGTATTAAATGCTTAACTGAAGTCAACAAATAGCATCCTGACATAAATGTTAAGATGGGCTGTGTGTAATGTTATTGAGACACCGTCCTTTGTTGATCGGTTTTCTTTATAGGCAAACTATATGGCTGTCCAGACCAACAGGGATGACGTCCTTCATGTGCTTTAGGATGATCCTCTCAAAGCACTTCATGATTACTGTTGTCAGAGCAACAGGGCGGTAATCATTGGGGCAGGTGACAGCTGATTTCTTGGGCACAGGCACAGTGACGGTGACTTGAGGCACACAGGGACTGAAGCAAGATGCAGAGACAGGTTAAAAATGTCCAGGAAAACTCCTGTCATTTGGTCAGCACATCATTAGTTGTGCCTAAAATGAATGTAATCCTTCCTACCTCCATGTCCCACATTTCCCACCAACCAAGTTTATTCCTTTGTACATCATCAATTTTATTAATTGTTCACTGAGGCTGCTTTACAAAAGATGTAGTATCCAGTTTCACCCAAAAGGTGTCGCTAGTGGCCTATCTAAGATTTGTCCAGGAATGACTGCATTTCTATCTGCATTTAGTAAAGTCTAAACACTTGTACCAGAGTCAGATTTATACCAAACTTCATAGAATGATTTCTGTAAGCTTATTAGACAATTCATTTACATTTACTGCCTCCAGGTAAAAGTGAAAGTCGGAGTTTGTGGTCCTGGGGCCATAGTGTCTGTGTTGGGTGTTTGAAGACACATCTGGTGTTGGGAGGTAAGGTATGAGAGAATGCAGTCATACAAGCCCACAGTTTCACACTTACAGTTGAAACTTAACACAGCTTACCTGCTCTGCTGACAAAGAGAGAGCAGAGGCCTGATAGATGAATCACACTGTTTTATTAGTGCACAATTTTAGAAATGACTTGAAAACGCACACAAGCACATGAACAATGTGAGTCCTCAAGCACACACATAAAGTAGTAGTACAGACTCTCCTCACTGTAGTGGGTTGAGCTAAAATCAGCCCACTTCAGTATATGAGGTGTATGTTTGTGTCAGGGGTGAGGTGGGAAGAGCTTGGAATTTCTTATGTAAGACTGTCAGTTCAAAAAGACTCCTTGCTGCTCATAACACTACTCAAACTAAACTAACAAACTTGGAACATTTTCTGCATACATATCTACACTTACACATATTGATCTTTGTGTAAATGCATAATATTCAAAACAGGAATAGGAATATAATCACAGTGTTTAGATATGTTAATTAGTTTTGTCGTTCACTTATGGAGTTCATTGATTGCTGGCTCATTTATCTGAGGAGGCCCTGTATCTCACCCAACCTCATCCTATAAGGCCAGGTTACGCTTAAAACTAGAGAAATGCATTTTCTGAAGAACATGCAAATGGATGCTGAGTGCGGAAAGATTGCCCTGAAAATGCTGAACATTTTGACACCTGAATGGTTTTGCTAGCTGAAAGTGTGCTGAAGTAGAATTTTCCCATTCATTTGAATGGGGCAAGATTTTCAAAATAAAGCTAAATATTTCAAAAGTATGAACTTTAGAAAACCTCTAAATAGAAGCATGAATGTCCTTGAAGAGCTGAACATTTTGATACCTGAAATAGCTGAAAGTATGCTGGAGTAGAATATTTCCATTCATTGGAATGGGGCAAAACTATCAAAATAAAGCTACATATTTTTAAACTATGAAATTTACAAAAATTCTGAATAGAAGCATGAATGTCCTTGAGGAGCTGAACATTTTGATACCTGAAATAGCTGAAAGTATGCTGAAATAGAATTTTCCCATTCATTGAATGGGGCAAGATTTTCAAAATAAAGCTAAATATTTCAAAAGTAGTAGTAGTGGTAGCTGAATGTCTCACGAGTTGAAATGGTGTTTCTAGCACAAGCTATACTTGTCAGGTTTGCCCGGCTGCACCTGCCTCTCTCACTTCTCTCCCTCTATTTTAGCTCCCTTGCCCCTGATTTCTTTATCTGACACACCTGCTTCACGTCCCCTGAATCACCACCAGCTGCACCTGATTAGTTTCTCGCTATTTATACCGTGCTCATCGTCCACTCCCCTGTCCGTTCTTTCTATACACAGGCCCGTTCTATTCCAACCTATTATTTTTCTACTATATGTACAGTATTTACTCACGTTCTTCATCCCAGCTCTGTTCCTGCCTTGTGCCCCGTGTCTTATCTTCCCAGCCACTATCGCTTCTCCGGACCACGGACCTCCTCAACTCCA